ATTTAGACCTGATAATACTTCCCGGGGCCTTTTTTTGTCAGCCTGGAGCCACCTGCCCTTCTGAGCCGTGCTGAGGCGCTGCTCCCTTGCAGCCATAACTACTGTATGGCCTGCTGCTCCGATTGGATCCGCCTCTTGGAGCAGAAGGGTTCAGGGTTTCTAAAGCCTAAACCCCAAACCCCTAAAGGCTTACTGGTACTTGAAAGGGGTGGAGATCCAGGGCGGTTTGCGAGCTTGAAGTAACGCCATCAAGCCAAAAGTCTCAAGCCGCAAGCCCGAATTTCCGGGATCAAGTTGCAGGGTGAAGGCTGGGAGGCTTTAGGTGCTCTTACTCCATGGGGGGATGTCCGTTTCAGTGGATTCCGAGTTGTCCACCACGGCAACTTGACGCCGAGTCGGTTGTATGGTGCAGAACAGCTGTTGCCGGCCGCTCTTCTGATTAGATCGTACCATTGCACCGAATCTACTTCTCGCTACTCATACTTTCGAGCTGTGTCGACCTGCGATTGTCGGACAGCTTGGCCGATGGAGTTTGCGGTGCCGGCCTTGTTTGGGGTCTGGGGGGTTAATAATGATGATAATAATAACAATATCAACAATAATAGCATTTCTACTATTGGTTTATTCAGACTGGTATTAGTAATAGTCGGTACCATGATAATAGCAAGGCAGAAGCATTCTCTTCGGGCTTCTGAACATGTCGCCGCTGAGATCACAAAGCAGAGTGCCCGCTCTGTCGACGCAGAATTACTGCCGCATCTTGGTGGCATGCACCAGTCCAGAAATGTCTTGAATTTCGGGGGCCATTCCGAATGCGTTACAGGGCTCCCAGGCGATTGGGTATCTCGTGACATGCAGTTGCAAGCTAACGGTTCCGTCTGTGGTGGAGTCGATGAATCTCGCAAGTTGCCTGTCAGTATAGTCCCTACCATGCGCGCAGTGCTAGGCCTCTATAAATGCCCTTTAATATCGTTGGGCCGACCTAGCTCGTGGTTTCCCACAAAGGAGACTCGACTGAGGGACCTGGTATCAAGTGTCATAGGAGTTAATCTTATCTAGTGGTATTCGAAACCGTCTCATGCAAACTCCGTATCAAAACCCATCCGCTGCTTGGGACTCCCCTGCTCCGTGCGTCTTCCGCAAGCTAAGGTCATGAAGAATCATCCGATGGATTCCGTGGTGGAAGTCGTGGCCCTGTCATCGCAGTTCTTCTTCCTACGGCTCCAAGAACTAGGAAGTCTCCCGCTCTTGAACATGTCGTGGATTGGTGCGGGACCTTAACAGGGTATTGGAGCAAAACATAGCCTAGCATTACCAGGGACTAAAGGGCGATATTGTTTCGAAGCAGTCAGGCCTAGCACATTGTGGCTTTTCTCGTGCGTGGAACGTGAGCCCTTACAGACACCTTACAACAAGTCTTCATGAAAGCTTACAGGCAACCCGCAGCAAGGTAAAGCATCAGCATCGCCTGGTTTTTGCTGTTCCGGATCACGACCGCTCCGACCTCCGAATCCCGAAACAGGCAGCGATTTTAAGCAATGCAAAGATAAAGATCCAGAATTTCAGGATCTTCGGGTGCGTGCAGGACTGCTAACCCGAAACCCTAGGCCCTAAGCCCGCGACTCCCCTAAGAACCCCAAAGCCCTAAAGCCTGTCAAACCCGAAACCCGAGAAACCCTCGAACTCTTAGCCCTAAAACCCTAAAACTCTAAAACCCTAAACCCCAAAAACCCTAAAACCCTAAAACCCTACAGCCCTAAAGCCCTAAAGCCCCAAACCCTAAAACCCAGAACCCTAAAACCCCCAAACCCCAGAATCCTCAACTCGCGAGCCCCCTGTGTCGCCTCTTCTGAGACCTTCTTGGCTGCGCAGCCGGAGCGGCGGCGTTCGGAGCAGGAGTTCATCTTTTTTTTTTGGGCTTGGTTCCCCTAAAAGGGGGCCTCAAGGGTCCCTTTAAAGGGATCTTAGGGCTTAGGATTTAGGGTGTAGGGTTTAGGATTCCCCAATGCCCAACCTTTAAACTTTTTGGGTTCTGATAATTTAGTAGTAATCAGTGAAGTTTTCTGTCTGCGACTGATGTGCACTTTCATATGTCATGCTGTCTTGCATGTGAGCCTACCGCTGCAGCGCGCTTGGGCACGATAAAAGCAGGGCCCTCTTTCTTCCAAGTTTGGTAGCGGAGCTACGGCTCCTGCTCTCGCCATATCTTGGTTTCGCTGCGGTGCCTGGCGAACCCAGGCTGCTAGCTTCGGCTGGCCTTTCTCCCCACGTTGCACCACGAGCACTACGACCAATCCCACGATTACACGATTTTCCGCAAGAGCATTTTGTTTCATCCTTTTGAGCCTGGTGATCCTTGAATACCTGGTCCTCTTGCAGAGCACGGGCATCCGAGTGCCCAGGACCGGCGACCTCTGGACACACAAGGCAGTGTCACAGAATTCGCTAAGAGACAGCGAGAGCTGGGCGATCCAGGGAACCTACGGCGAGGACTACTTGTACCTCCTCTTCGTGAACGACAGCATGGCAACAGGCAACGTCCCGCACACCGGTATCCCTCTTCACGAATACCGTCGCGATGTACCACCGGGCTGGGGCCCGGGGCTGCAAGACTACACCTTGAAGACCTTCTTCGACCGCCTCAAGATGTGGTACCGTCTGTACGACGGCCCGGACGAGACTGTCGGGCCCCTGGTTGCGGGAAGATTGGTTGGGAAAGCGCAAACTCTTGCGCTTCAGCTTCGACTTCCCCGACCTGATGGAGCAACAGATGTGGGCTCGGACGCTCTTGTTCGATTACCTGTGGACGAGGCGAGAGACCCTTCGAACCCTCAGGTGATCCTGCAGCACCACATACCAAGTGGCATCCAGGCTCTGTGTGACAAGCTTCGTGAGACCTTTGGTCACACCGACCAGGAGATGGCAAGCAAGAGCCTGGAAGCACTGTTTGAGCTTCGTCGCGGGAAGCTCTCCCTGCAGGAGTACGCAGTGGAATTCGACCTGAGGATGGAGGAGGCCCATGAGAGAGCAGGCCTTGAGATGAACGAGGTCGCTCTTTTCTATTTCTTCTTTAAGAACAGTGGCCTTCCTCACCGTTTCGTGGAAGACGTGAAATTACAGGTTCATGGAGATCTACGTCGGTACCAGGAGGCAAGAAGCCTGGCTTTGCGTATGAGTACTACGGGAGCAGGTGAGACGTTCTACCAAGACATGCCTGGCCCTTTGGATGAAGAGTGGTCCTGGGATCACTCTTATTGGGCTGGCGACGGCTGGGACGACTACGGCGAGGAGCCCCTGGACCCCTGGTCTTCTTGGTATGAGGACGACTTCTATGACCAGGAGTACCCTGAGGAAGAGTGGCAAGATGATGAGTTCCAGGTTGCTGACGAAGAAGGCTTCTTCGATGGCAGCTACCCCGTGAAGGGCTCCAAGGGCAAGAGCAAGAAAGGACGTGGAAATGCCCGTGGTGTTGGCTGCTCTGTCTGTGGAAGCAAGTGGCATGATGCCTCCGCTTGCCCGGTGAAGAGCAAGGGCAAGGGTCAAGGCGGCCATGAGCAGAAGGGCTGGCCCTCCAAAGGCAAAGGCTACGGCAAGCCTCGCTTTGGAAAGGGCAAAGGCTACGGCGGCTACGACAAGAAGGGCTTCAAAGGCCAAAAGGGGAAGTTCCGGACCAAGGGCTGGAGAGGCTACGCGGAGTACCCCGACGACAGCTACTACCAGCAGAGCAAGAGCCTCGTCGGCCACTTTGGCTCGGACACCTATTCGGCTTTTCCGAGCTCCAAGCAGCCCTCCTCGAAGAGCACACCGTTCTTCGACATGGCCAAGGACGACCACGACTTCCTCGGCCGACGCTCTACGGTCACCTTCGAGGAGCCGCCTGCAGACGAGGAGCAGCCTGAAGAGCCCGAGCAGAAGACGACAAAGAACCTGGACTTGCACTTCCCGGTCTCCTTGTACGCCGAGCGTGAGCACTTCCACATGATTGGCGGCACCAAGCGTCGAGGCCTATTGGTGGATCCCGGAGCCAGCAATGGGCTCATTGGATCGGAGACTTTGCGCGACCTCCTCGACGAGTGCCTGGCAAACAAGGAGAAGGCTAAGGTGCATTGGAACCACAAGACGGCACAGGTCTCTGGCATTTCTGGAGCCCAGGACCAGACACTCGGGGAAGTCACGGTTCCGGTGAACTTTGGCTCCTCCGGCCGTGGCTCCTTTACTGCAGACGTCTTGGGCGGTGAGGGCAGCCTTTGTCCAGCACTTCTTTCGAATCCGGCTTTGAGAAAGATGAGCTCGGTGATCTTCACCGACTTCTTTGACAACGGTGATGGTCTTCTTGCCTGCCGAGCACAGAGCCACGAAACTCCCGGCGATTCGTCTTCGTGGTCGCACTTCCGGCTGCTCTTGACCGACTCGGGTCATTACCTGCTGCCGGTGGACAAGGGCAAGGACATTATCCCTCCGGAGACCTCCAGCAAGGCCACTTCGTTCCTACAGCAGACAGTGAAGACCGTTCGGAACCGGTGGCAAGATGTGCGACATTGTTTCTACAGCGCAGGGAGTGCTGAACTTGAGCGGAGTGAGTCTTTTCATGTTCGGGAACGAGATTGCAGTGTCCCTCGTGATCCCTCAGAATCTCCAGTAGAAGACTGCAGTGTCCCATGTGATCCATCAGAATCTCCAGTAGAAGACTGCAGTGTCCCATGTGATCCGTCAGAATCTCCAGTAGAAGACTGCAGTGTCCCATGTCCACGACCAGGTGACCCTTGCGATGAAGGTCAGGTGGCGTCACTACCGAAGCATCCAAGTGTCAAGGGCCTTTATCTGCTGACGCAGGACGATCCACTGTATCTACGACAAGCACAAGATGAGTGGACCGTGTTTGGTGACACCTTGACTCGTCATCATCATGTCCCCAGGAGAACTCTCTTCACACCGTGCTGCACAACTGACTGTCCTATTGATGTTCACCTGCTGACCTCTTCACGAGAGACGTCTGTGAGGTTTCGAGGCGAGAGCCTATGAAGGAGACGAGTTCCCCAAGCACTGGAACGACTTGGAAAGAAAGACGGCCGCGCAACAGTATGCCTCGGTCCCTGAGGAGTTCTACAGCCGAACAAAGAGGAAGCCGATAACTCCGGCGAACTTTGGCTCTTGGTTTTCGAGAACTCGTGGACGAGGGCTACGCTGGCATATGCAAGAGCTTTGCTCTGGATCGGGCCGTTTGAGCCTGGTCGCGGTGCTTTCTGGTTTGCTCGTTGGGTTTCCCGTCGACTACCGGTACGGCTGGGACCTCACGGTGCCAGCACACCAAGCCATGATTGCGCAGGCTCGAGAAGAATTTCTTCCTGCTTACCTGCACGCTTCGCCGAGCAGCACGGCATGGTCGAACGTCTCCAAGCTCACACCTCTCCGTCAGACCCGGCGGGACATGGACTCGCCTATGCTTTCGTTCCTCAAGGGCCTCTTCGTGGAGCAGACACGACAGGATCTGCGCTTCTGTGTTGAGCAGCCAATGAACTCAACAATGTTCCAAGACAAGACGAGCCCCTTGAGTGACTTGTGTGATCTTCCTGGAGTTAGGAGACGGCAACAAGTTGATCAATGCGCCCATGGCTGTGCTGATGAACATGGTGTGCCGATGAAGAAAGCGACTGTCATCGTCGGCAACCTCAAGATGTCAAGGACGACGAAGCGGTGCAATGGGCACAAAGGAAGAGCTCACTCAGTTCCTCAAGGCTTCGTGAATGGAGTGAACAAGGCAGCCAAGGCCATGGTTTACCCAAGACAGATGTGCATGGCTATGGTTGAAGATGTCTGGAAGTTTGTGAGGACGTCCCAAATGTGCTTCGCGAGCTGGCCCTCCAACCTTATACTTCATTCGTTTGTCGGGTACAAGTGTGAACGGTGCCAACTCGGACGGGCTGCGTTACCTTGGATGGAGCACTCGCTCATTCCTGGAGAATGTCGTCATGGACGGTGGCCAGCAGGTGGAGGTCCGAGGGCGAACCCGTTGAGGCCTGCGGACCCAGTGGCTACCTTCAAGAGGCGAGCCCGCGAGAAGGACTTCTCTGAAGTTGTTGTCGAAACCCCCGCGGACATTTTCCTTCCGGTGCAGGCCTCGCTCTACTTCAAGTACCTGATGTTCGTTCTGGTGCAAGACACAGTGGCTTTGTTCAGCGAGGCAACGGAGCGGGGCATTGACTACGTGCACTGGGTCACTGATCCTGTACACAAGACGATGTTCCAGGAGATCTTCCAGAAGGAGTTAGGAGTCAAGGCCATTGCTTGCGCACTGAGGCCTTTTCACTGCTTGGTCCCAGAGCCTCAGTTGTCTTCAAGAACAGCACCTCTCAGGCTACAGATTTCTGGTACGGTGAAGAAGTGGAAGGTGCATGAGCTGGAGGACCTACGACTTCTGAGTCATTCACAACAACATCAAAAGATTGATGAAGTCGATTGGCTCATCACACTGTTCGGCTCTGACCCGGCTGGCACAATACCAGCAACACCGGCTGGCACAATACCATCGACACCGGCTGGCACAATACCGTCGACACCGGCTGGGGCTATACCTTCCACACCTTCGAAGGCAAGTCATCGTCGCAAGGCTCCCGTTGACAGAGCTGAAGATCTTCCTGCTCCAGCTTCGCAGGACAGAGTCGAGGAGCCGATAGGTGACGGTGACGAGCAGCCAGAGGAGACCTTTGAAGGCGCACCACAGCAGCCGATAAAGCCGCTGTACTCTTTTCGCAAGGTCTTTCAGCGACTGGTAAAAATAGCCGAGAGCGACCCATTGACGGCCAAGCGGTTGATCCTTGGGCTGCACGAGAGGTTTTACCACGCTCCTCTGGGCGATCTACGGAACCTCCTGGCACGCTGTGGTATGCCTCCTGAAGTTCTCAACTTGGTGGCAGATGCGGTGAAATCATGTGCTGTTTGCCGCAAGTTCGTGCGGCTTCCCAATCGACCTCAAGTTAAGGTGGGCAACTCTAACGTTTTCAACGACCGGGTGCAGATGGATCTCTTCCAGTACGCGGGCAAATGGATATGCCTATTGGTGGACGAGTCCACTCGCTACAAGATTGCCTTCCTGCTGGTTGACAAGGGCTGGAAGGAGATCACCAAGATGCTGCTGTCTACATGGATGATGTACTTCGGCCCTCCTGGCCATCTGGTGGCTGATCAAGAGTCTTCGGTGATGTCACACGAGGCCAGTGCAGACCTCGAAAGACTCGGCATCACTCGATGCCCCCGTGGAACCACCAGTGGCGCGGCCGGGAAGCAGCACACCGGCACCGGTCTCGTTGAGAGACATGTTGCCTTGACCGAGCTGACGATGAGGAAGCTTGCCAGCGAGCTCAATCGTCAAGGCCTTGTTGCAGAAGTAGACGAGCTCGCAAGGGAAGCGGCAATGGCCCAGAATTTGTCTTTGAACTTTGGAGGAGTTACTCCGGCGATGGCGGTGTTTGGCACTCTTCCGAGACCTTTCTTCGATGTGGCCTCGGGCAACGTGATGGTTGATGCAGGGGCTCTCCAGACTGACCTTTCCCAGTTCGAGCGAGCCCTTCGCGTACGACAGACGTCTATGTCGTGTATACAACAGGCCATTGCTGAAGACCGCGTCTCGAGAGCAAACCGCACTCGCACGCACCAGCTCGACATGAGTACCATGGTCCCTGGCACAACTCAGGTCGACATTTTCAGAGAAGTTGCTGGTGACGTGGGTTGGCGTGGTCCTGCTGAGCTGCTGAAGATCGACTCCTCTGAGGGGAATGCTATTGTGCAGTACCAGGGGCGACCCTACCTGGTTGGGCTGCGGCATTTGAGACTGCATGAGTCTACGAGCTTTGCAGTTTTTCCTCCTGGAGTTCAAGATGCTGTTCAAGATCTGCGAGGCATAGCCGAGGAGCAGAGACCCTACAAGGTGTCGGTTGTTGGTTGGCTTTTGGATTGCCGAGACGGTCAACACTTGTGGCGACGAGCCTCCAACATGTTTCCACAGTATGAAGACGTGATGGCAAAAGCCACTTTGGTGGCGAGACACCTGAGTGACCGCCCTTTCGGCGGCATTGCTTTTGGCCAAGGAGTACGGTATCTACGACCTCCTCCTCACTCCATCGGCATCCTCATGTTCTGGTCTCTGGGCGCCAATCAATATGCATCACAAGAACATTGGAGCTCTACGACGATCAAGCTCAAAGACCTGGTTCCTTTTGAGGTAGAAAGCCTTTGTTTTGTCTACCTCTACTACTATCACCACATGGAGGACGAACCACGGCCATCAGCAAAGATCGAGACGGAGAGCTCAACTGCGCCAATGGAGCTGGAAAGCCTGGAGCCCTCCATGGACTCCACGGAACTCATGGATGTCAAGCGCAAGGGCCCCGAGACACGAACTGTTGTTCTTGGACCAGAGAGCAAACGTCTGAGAACAGATTTGCTTGTCATGGCAGCAGTCAACGAGACAGAGCTGGAAGCTGAACGATACCTACCACAACTGCATTTTATGCTTTCAGCTCAGAATCGATTCAAGGTTGATTTTCAGCACCAATTGATTTCGGCCTGCAACATGCCAGTGTATTCGCTTCTGGATTCCTGTATGATGAAGCATTACTACGGCAACTTTGAGGGCCGCTTCCACGACCACGGGCGACCTCTAGTGTCATGGCCTGGCAAGAAGCACGAGAACTTCCTCGTGGACCTTCATGACGGCGCTTCCTTTAAGGTCGACACGGAGACGGACATCATTGGCGAGGCAGATGTCTTTCCAATCTGGGAACAAGTCGAGGAAGCGGACAAGAAGGAGCTACGCCAGTTCATCGAGACGAAGAGCTTCCGGTGCGTCGCCCTCAACACTCTCAGTGAGGACACGGTGGTGATCGATGCCACATGGGTGCGCAAGTGGAAGCGAAAGGCCGACGGCTCTATTGTCGTCAAGAGCCGACTGTGCGCCAGAGGATGTTTTGATCCTCATCGTGAACACCTCACTACGAGATCCACGACAGCGACGCGGCTATCGCAGCGCATCGTTTTGTCCACTGCTGCATGCAACCGGATGAACTGTGAGTCTTTCGACATTTCTGGGGCTTTCCTGAAAGGCTTCACCTTCGAGAAGGTTCGCCAGTTGCTGAGAGCCAGGGGAATAGTATCCCCAGTGCGTCGCGTGGTGGTGATTCCGCCTCCAAACGTGTGGCGGCACCTTGCAGAAGCAGATCGAAGCTTCGAGGTGCACGGGAACTTCGGTGCTTATGGTTTGGCCTGCGACAAGCCTGTGTACGGTCTTAATGACGCGCCGCTGGCATGGCAGCTGTGCTTGCATGAGTTCCTCAAGAAGCACGGCGGTGTTCCCTCGCTTATGGACGAGAACCTCTTTATTTGGAGGACCGCCACGCCAGAGTGCAAGCTTGAAGCACTGCTGTCTACGCACGTGGATGACCTAGCCTCTGCAGCCAAGCAGGTTTTCCTGGACTGGATATATGACACGCTCAAGAAGGAGTTCGGTGGCGTGACAAGGCAGACTTTGCCCTTTGATCACTGCGGCTGTCGATATGAACGAGTTGACGATGGCTACAGGATGTCGCAGAAACACTTTGCTGAGAAAATGGTTTGTGCAGAGGTTCCAGACGACCGCAAGGACAGCGATCCCTTGACGGCCAAGGAGTTGACTTCGTTTCGCTCGGTGCTGGGCGGTTTGTTGTGGCTGACGGCTACCCGCCTGGACTTGATTGCGGATGTTTCCTTGCTGCAGTCGAAGGTTACAAAAGCTTGCGTTGAACACCTCAGACAAGCTAACAAGGTAGTGGAGAAGGCCAAGCACCCCGACTTCATCGACCTCGGGCTCCACTACAGATACCTCTCGGGCCACTTCCGGCTGGTTTGCGTTCACGATGCAAGCTCTGCCAACAAGGACCGCAATTATGCTCAAGAGGGCATACTGGTGTTGCTTTGCGAGGACAAGTTGAACATTCCGGACAGCGAGTACAAGCTCGACGCCGACGACTTCCTTGCGGAGAGACTCGGTGGCAAGGCGCACCTGCTCTGGTCACACGGGGCAAAGGCGAAACGTGTGTCCTACAGCACCTCTCACGCGGAAACCTTGTCCGCGATCGGAGGACTGGAAACAGTCTCCTTGGTGGCGGTTCGGTTGTCAGAACTGTACTTCAGGGGCAAGCCCACGTTGAAGGACCTCACGAAGTTCCAGGAGAGTGGAAACATCAAGATCCCGGTTGATTGCCTTACAGACTGCCGGGACTTCTACGAGCTCACCACGGGTGATCGCACGCTGCCGCAGGACAAGGGTCAGCGTTTGTATGTGCTGGCCCACAAGGAGGCGAGAATCAACGGAAGGATCCGTTGGATGATCCTCGTCCCGACTCAGAGCATGGTTGCAGATGCTCTTACCAAACCCATGCTTGCACCACAGCTACTACATCTGATGTCAACTGGGGTGGTGCACTACAAGAACGAGGAAGGTCATCCCATTCTCTTCCGGCGACTTCCTCAACTTCTGGAGTATGACGAGGACACGATTCTCGAGTCGGACGACAGCTTGATCAAGAACTTTGTCATTTTGGCAGCGGCCAATGCGATGAAGATTTCCAAGCCCCTCCTGGTGGCCTCCGTCATCGCATCACAGACGCGACTGGTTGGAGCATCGTCCACTACATCAACGACCTCCTCGACTCCAAGTACTACATCTTCATGGTGGGACTACGACTTCGTGCTCTTCTGGATCATCACGGCGATCGTCATCATTGTTGTTGAACGTGTGATTGTACATGGTGGTCATCACGCCTGGAGCTGGTTTACAAGACTCATTGCATCATGGACGAGTTCCTCGACCTCTTCAGCGACCTCCTCGGCATCGTCAACAAGATCTACGAGTACGCAGACGGAGTATGTCGGCATCTACACGTTGGTCCAAGAACGCCGACTCAAGAACGAACTGGAGGCGGCCAACAAGCAGCTAGAGCTGTACCGCGGCAACGTCGCCACTTCTGCAGAAAATGATCTGATACGTCGACTACGTGCTACTGAGCACCAGGTGGCAGACCTACAAAGACGCATCCGCGACCACTTCTCGAGTTGTCCAGCTGGGAAACGACTTTTCTGTGCACAGTACTCCCGATGCTGGCATCTTTTCGAGACGTGCAGTCAGTTTAAGAAGACCTCGAGTCTAAGAGAACTCGCTCCTTGCTCTCAGTGTTCGTACAACACTCCAAAGGAAACTATGTTCCCTGGGATGTTCTCCAGTAGCAGCACAGGTGAGTAACTGAACAAGAGCGGAGTGAAGTTTTCTGTCTGCGACTGATGTGCACTTTCATATGTCATGCTGTCTTGCATGTGAGCCTACCGCTGCAGCGCGCTTGGGCACGATAAAAGCAGGGCCCTCTTTCTTCCAAGTTAATCTGACAGTTTAACCGTTTATTTTGCCGGCTAATTGGGGAAGCGAGCTGATGGGTTTAGGGTTAAGGGTATACGGTTCAGGGTTCAGGGTGTCGGGTTAGGAGTCTGGGCCGGCTTTAGGGTTCAGGGTATAATTAGGGTTTATGGTTTGGGGTTTATGGTTTGGGGTATACTTAGGAATTAGGGTTTAGGGTTTGGGGATGAGAATTTAGGGTTGCCGTGGGCAAGGGGAGGGCATGGCAGGGCAGGCAGGCGGGAGGGCCCAGGGAAGGGCCTGGGCCCATGCAAAGGGTTTGGGGTGGTGCCGGGGAGAACGTGTTCCGGTACTACAGTCCCCATGGCTGTGGAGAGGCGGGCTGGCATACTGGTCGGTCTGTCGGGATCGGTTGCGAGGGGCTTACGCGCCGCCCACCCACGGTAGGCGCCCTGCCTAGGGTTAAACGGGGGCAAAACGAAGTTCTTCTTTCTTCATGTTTCAGTGCAGGGGGGCTACATCAGGGGGTTTGGTTTCGGAGTTGTTTCAGGGTGGCGAAAACAGGTTTGAATTTTAGCTATTGGAGAGCGAGAAAAAGTCTTCGGGGTTTGGGCATTGAGGGATTTGCCAACAGGGTTAAGGGTTTCACAGTGTTTAGGGGTTCGGTTTGGGTGTTTGTTTAAAGGGGTTTAGGGGTTAGGTTTCACGGGTTTATGGGTTCGGGGTTTATAAGAGGTTAGTTGCTGCTGCTTCCAAGTTCCGGTGTTTCTGGTTCTTGCTTGAGACTAACGGGAACAAAAAATCCCTTACGGTACTCATAGAAGGACTGTTTAACGCAACCCAAAGCCTTATTCTAATGATAAAGATAAAGGCCCCTATGTTAGAAATTCTCGCAAATTTGCCACTTGCAAGGCTCTGAAAACCTAACAGGCAGAAGAAACATGACAGTTGGCCACATGACTTGAACCCAGAGCCGAATTGCCCCCGAGGAGCAACGCGACATGGACTCGAGGGACAAGTTGAGGCTTTCGTGTAAACCGCATGAACGAAGGATGTGTGGTCCTTGCTGCTGCCAACATATCGGATGCGCTAAATGGGCAGGGTCGTTCCTCCTCCTCCTCCTCCTTCTGCTGCTGCTGCAACAACAACAACAACTACTACTACTACTACTAAGACTACTACTACTACTGCTGCTACTACTGCAGCTACTACTACTACTACTACGAC